ATATGAACATTAAGTAGCATTAGAGACAGAGAATTGTTAATCTTTGTACGATACAGTTGTTTAATTAAAGCTGTTCTTCTTTTATTAAAAGAGTGTATTATTATCTCACATAATTACAAATGAAATACACAATTATCTGTGCTAACAACCCAAAACTTGACATACAGAGTGTACATAACATGATGGTACATTACATATGCAATCGTGTTATTTACGTCAGATAAGCCTAATGCTTCAATAGTTCGTGCAGTCTCTCCCGTTACATAACATTTTAAATAATTAAATTTATCGACATTATCCAGATGTACATTTTCATGAACCATGGATGCAAAGGAGTAGTGAAATTTTAACCACTTACCTGACTATCAAACACTGGTAATCTAATGTAATGTAATTTTATGCCCTTACGTGCAATGCGAGTTTCGTCCGTTGGTTGTGATGTATAATGCAAAGCTTGTGCACTTATTAATTGTGTCTCATCTAATAAATTTTGTGCTTTTGAAATAGCGTGAAAATAATTATTTTGGAAGAGCGATCTGCGGCTTGTAATTCGGTTTGTTGCTCATCAGTCATCATCATTGAATATTTCTATTTCTGTTTGAATAGCATTGTACTGGTCGTATAACTGTTCACATTTCTCTAGCCTTTTTTTAACTTCATGACCGAATCTAAAAAAAACAAAAAACGCGTCGAACTCCCCTTAATACCTGTCCTATTAAAGTTTAATTGGTCCATTGTTATTTATTTTATTTGTACTAGTTAATACACGTTGAATGGTTTTAAGAGTATGGAAAAAAGTGATAATTGGAGACTTAACGTTTATCCTGTCGATATTTTCTTTATTTGATGTACGCTGTGCCGCTCGCCGTAGTACAATGAGTGTAGGCTGCAATCGCACAATCAGTTTTCCACCGATTATTGTTAATGATAGTCCAGTAGCTAACTGACAATATGTCCCATAAATCCAATAAAGAATTGTACACGTATTACACTTTTATTCTTTACAGTTTTCGAGATTTCTCTTTCCAAGAAAAGGCCTCAAATACCCCTTAGACAATATCACGAACACTTCTTTTTATTCGCGAATATTTTTTTTTCTTTTTTCTCACAGCGCGATCTATTGGTTAGTTCAGCGAACAAATGATATCGATATCGTCGTTCGATTTCAATTATGCTAAGAATTCACGCACTCTGCGTATTTTTTGTTTGAATGTTGGCAGTTATTTCCTTTATTGTCTTGAGCTAACTAACTAGCGGTTAAGATTTAAAATAGTGATTCGAAAAAATCAGCTATTGGACATTTAACGTGACTACGCTCTTCTACTAAATGATAATGTTTTTAAAATAACGGGCATGTATGCCGATTAAATACTTTGATTAATTAGCTGTAAATTATATATCATTTTTACTTTGTAGCTGTCGAGTGAAAAATGAGTTATTTAAGTGAAGAAATAAGTGATACTGAACCAATTGATGTGGATTTGGATTCTACACCACCAAGAAAAATTGCAAAACTAGCAATAAACATCGCCAACAAAAATTTAGAGACGCCTGACTTCAACATGAGCAATGACCTAATAAGGTACCTGAAGATCAGCACAAAGCTAAATGTCGTACGTGCAATATTATGATAAATGCAGAGCTAGCTCTGATAAAAAAACCACATGACCTTAAAAGTTCATACAAATCGTTACAAGACTTTAGAAGCTCAGCCGATCATTTCCAAGTTTGTACAAAAGAGTGACGATATTTGCACGAAAACTGAAGCAGCTCAAGCTCTTGAAGTAAAGTTGTGTGGTTTCGTGGCTGAACATAATATATCGCTTACAACATTAATTGACCTGACAACACTTTTAAAATGTGATGTGCCTGACTCCGATATGATCAAAAAATTCAATTGAAGTCAACAAAAGTAACGACAATAGTAAAAAATGTGATCGCTGCAGCAGAAAAAGAAGAGCTCTGAAAAGAATTACACACCAATTTGTCCAGCGTTTTGATTGATGAATCCACTGATATTGGGAACATTCAAACGATGTGCGTCATTGTAAGGTAAAAAATTTGACAATTCTTATTTATTAAAATTGTTTATTGTATTTCTATATCTTGTACACTTTATAAATATTGTATTTTTCATAAAACAGGTTTTATGATGCTGAAAAAGGTGAAGTGGTTAGAAAGTTTTGGGACCTTTGTCAAGTTTTTGAGCCAAATTCAGATGTGGAGGGTGCCACAGCGGAACATTTATTCGAACTAGTGACAAAATCCTTTGAAGAATATAAGATCCCGTTCAAGATCATTATTGGATTTGCGTCCGATGGAGCTTCAAAATTTATTGAAGAATGCCCTGGTATCTACATCGTCTAGTATCTGTCATTCGTTACATCTTTGCGCCAGTAGTACATATAAGAAACTACCCAGGAGTTGCAAGATTTAGCACGAAATATTTATGGAGAATTTAAAAATAGTGCAAAACGACAACATTTATTTCAAAAGTTTCAAAGATTCTTAGAGATCAACGTTCACAGAATTCTTCGCCCAGCACAAACACGTTGGTTATTTCTGAAAGCGGTTGTTTCCAGAATAATTGAACAATGGCCTACGTTACAATTATATTTTAGAGAACAAATGTTAACAATTCGATTAAAATCTGTTGAACAGATTGTTCAAGCTCTTGGTAATCCATTAATTAAACTCCTCTCTCTCTCTTTTTGGACTTCATTTTACCCAAATGTACCAAGTTAAATGAACTCTTCCAATTATCGTCGGTAGTTATTACGAGTCTGATCGAACTGATTTAAGTGAACCAAATCCACGCAATGAGAGACATCGTTTGCGTTCAGAAAATATGTACTTTGGGGTTGAAGTTAGAAAAATGTTGGATCAGATTTAAATTTGAAATAATGAACGATTGAAATTGCTTGAGTTGAATTTTTAATTGAAGGTTCTAGCGAAATAAAGAAACGTTTCAACTTTTAAAATCCGACTTTGAAACTGATCACTAACGTCAATCCCGAAAAAGCAATGTTAAGAAAGACAAGACTTACTACAATTCCAAGTTTGCTGCCACTGATGGAGGCTTTGCCTCGAATTACCTCAAATAATCGTCGATGAATGGCGTAAATTACCATACTTTGAGCTTGCGGAGAATATCGACATTAAAGAGTCAATTGATATTTTTTGGGCAAATTTGATGGACTATGGAGAAGGTGATCAGGGAATGACTTTTAAAAACCCCCCCAAATTTCTGCTAAATGTAATTTCACTTCCACATTTGAATACTGACAATGAACGTATATTTAGTCACATCAATTTAATTAAAACTAAGAGTCGCAATAAAATGATAGTTGTAGTTTCAATTGTCAATGGGATTCTTTTAGCTAAACAAAGAATAAAGCATAATAACGCTGACTGCACTACATACGAACCATCTGAAAGTGAGTATGGTCGAATGAATAAATCTTTCATGTACAAAAAGTAAACTATCGTACATCTCAGAATCTACATAAAAATTTATGATTTGTATCGTGATACGGATGTGGATAAATTTGATAGTATTCTAATGCCAAATGAGAAGTTTTAAATAAGAATAAAAATATAATATGGAATAATTTTCGTACCAGTGATGCGGAAACAAATGCAGTCTTATGAATTCTTTATTTTATGCAAAAAATAATGCAAGTCATTCAGAACAAGTACTAAAATTGTTGACATAATGGTTGATTTGAAAACTTAGCTACAAAACAGACAAGCCGATCAATTTTATGGTAAATCTGCCATGGATTTATTAAAGCAGTTTGATGAATTGCAAAAAACAAATTTTAAAATTGATGTCAATAACTTTTTTTCGCGTGTAATGAAAGTGATAGCGCTAGTCCGAAACCATACGCCATCTCCCTCACTCTCTTCGAGCCAAGAAATTATTACGACATACGGTTAAGGCACGTCTGTTAGTATATGTCGATGGTACCATACTCTGTAATTTTCTCTGAACATATAGGAGTTTGTGCAGAAACCTTTTGATGCATATTGTCAGTAATTAAAT